TNNNGACCCAGTCTGGGTTATACATTGAGTTTAATAGTCGATATCACGTTCAGGTATGTATATGAGTTTTATCCACTTTGGGTTAAGGCCAAGTTTGCCTTCCCTAAGTTCTGGTGGTGGCCCAGTTTGCCCTAGTTATACCATCAGAGTGTGCACACGGTTAGCGGCCAGAGTGTTCCGGGAGTTACCGGCCAGAGAGTTCCGGGAGTTTCAGTTTACTTATATATACCAGTTTGTGATATCATTATTAATATTGTTGTTTACCTTAGAATGGGTTTTTATGGAGTACAAGTGGACCGTACTCACCCCCACTTTATATTTTCAGATGACAGGGTCGGCGGGCAGGCGTGAGACGAGCTGTGGTGGTGGTGGTCGTGAGTTCCGCACGAAAGCTGTTCCTGGGACATTTGTTTAAACTGTTTTGTAAACTATTATAACCACGTATTTTAGACTTCCGCTATGCTTGCGTTTAATTTCGAACATGCATGACTTTATTATCATACTTAAATAATTTTACCCGGTTCGCCAGTACGAACGGGTCCAGACTAATATGCATGATTCGTAAAAATATAAACCTGATTTCTTTAAGTCTAAACCAGTCGTTAGACCTAGGTTAAAGAAACGGGTTTTTAAGCAGAAAAGTCCTTAGCAGCATCTCGAGATAGTTTGCAAATGATTTCGAAAAATTTATAAGCGTTTTCGAAAGAGTTAAAATTTGCAAAAATTTGCCCTAGTTAGCGGGGTGTTGCAGAGAGTCTGAGAGGTCACAACAACAACTAACGTTATGCACCAAATGTAGGTGTTGTTTATTGCCACACGTGTGCGTACGTCTACAGCTCAGTCAATTCCCCTCACTCGGCATGGCTCCGGCATGGACCTGGGCCTTCGACTTGAATCTTATACCTTTGTCCTTGGTACTTAGCAAGTAGGCTATGTGTTGCATGTTTGTAGTATTTTTGGGCATGTGATAACCGAGCTACCCGACTGGTCGTTCTCAAAGGAAGGCTGTTCGAAGCTTCGTTCACTACCTAGTCGTCAAAGTCACATAACCAGAAACAAGGTCCTACACATTCTACTCGCTTGATGGGGATGGATTGCACGAAATTGAACTAAGAATCTAAGAGAAAATAATGAAAAATGCAAGAATAGAAAGAAATGTCAAAGCATTGGTTGCACGGAATCTCCATAACTCAAGAAAATAAAAGAAAACAAGAGAAAACATGCGAGCATAGTGATCCTAGGTAATCTATCACGAGCTTTCTACACTAAATCATCACGCTTTGAACAAAGTCGAGACCTTCATACTAGATAAGCACGAATAGATTCCCTACACACGAAAGCAAGCAATGAAAATAAAGCAAAAACCTAGAAACGAGCATAAACAAAAAACGAAGAACAAATTCGAAGTAGTAAGTCCTAAGCAAGGTACTTACTCTTCTATCGCGTGTCCGGACGAAAATAATGAATAAAGCTCGGAACTTAGATAAAAATAAACTTGCCGGAATTTCGCCGGAAAAATAGAGTCATGGACCTCCCAACCAAAGCATAAAAAGGAAAGAGAGAAAATGGAGAAGATTTCCCAACTTAAAAGTTGGGAAATGAGGGGTGGTCTTCAAAAATACAAAGTACAATGTCTATTTATAGTTACACCACAAACACACACTAAAAACACACTAAACAGCACTCCCGAGGTCGCGGGCATTTCCGCTGGTCGCGGGCGTCGGTTGGCACGGGGCGGAACGAGGAAAATGTGGCGTGGCGTGAGGGAGATCGACACTCCCGATGTCGCGGGGTAATCCACGTGCGCGGCTGTGCAGTTGGAAGAACACTCTCGACGTCGTTAGTTGGGCCCACTACAAGAATAATCATTTTTAGTGACGATAATTTTTGTCGCTATGTCGTCAGAAAAAATACCGTCGCTAATAATGTCCTAATATTGTCGCTATATATTCGAGTGTCGTCACAATAATACCTCTTATTGTGACGATATTTTTTGTGACGACATAGCGACAAAAATTATCGTCACTAAAAATGATTATTCTTGTAGTGGCCGAGGGCGCGGACGCACGGAAAACGCACTCTCGAGGTCGCGACGGTTTTCGCGTGGTAGAGAGTCTTGGTGTCGCGACACTCGCGAGGTCGCCGGTGCTTTTGCGAGGCGTGGGTGTCCTGGGCAGCAGCGTCGCGCGTCCGCGAGGTCGCGGGAGATGGCCGAGGTCGAGAGTGTGCTAGGTGTCGGGCGCCATTTCTCCGCGAGCGCGCGGCTTGGGGCACGAGGGCGCGAGTGCTGTGCTGTGTCTTGATCGATAAAGGCTCGAAATACTCAGATTGGAAATGGCTCGTATGAATTGGCTCGAAACTTCTCGGGCATTACTCGGGATTCCTTTGGAAAATATTTGTCTCTCGGGACCCGGTTCGACTCTTCTCATTCGACCTCTAAATAATCCTGAAATTCCACCAAAAAGCACGGAAAAGTACGTCAAAATATAAAATAAAAAGAAAGACATAGAAAACACACGAAAGACGATAAAATGGATCGGTCAACACTAAAACGATCCTAAAATCAACTCAACTACACACATAAAATACATAAAAAGAAGCACAAAAACACAATAAACATTGCACTTCGGTGACCTTATACTGCTTTATCATCTAATCGGCTTCGACATTGGTCCTAATCCCCGTAATTAATATTTTTTTTTTTTCAAATATACTTTCAATTTTCTCGACGAAAATAGAAGTCCAATTCTGCAGGTTTCTATGTAGTGGTTTGGATAGATGGATTGTCCAACCCAAGTTTCAAACAATATTATCTCGCTCTAGGTATGTTGAACCTGGACAAGTTGACAACTCCCGAACGTTTTAAGGATGTTACTCATTAGATGTTCATTAGATGTTTTATGTGCGTTATTCGTGCCTTAAGTGATTATAAAGACCATGAATGGTTGAGAGTCTTATAAATAAGACGAGTCTTGGCATGGTGCAGAGTTAGAGACAATAGCTCAGTTATTGCGATCCATTCAAAATTTTCGGAGCTTTAATTTTGAATTGCTACAGAATTAGAGACGTAGTTGTTGTATATTTGCGTTAAATGATTTTCCTTTATGGCTCTGCAACAATTTATTAATGGCTTGCATTAAAAAACTTTAAGTAGCAAGCTAGATAGGAAGAAAAATATCTTGGACTCTGGATTTTCAATAAGCATTAGAATCTTGAATTAATAAAGCCATCCAGATATGTTTAGGCCCTAACAGGTAATGTTGTAATAGTAACATTTGCCCTCGATCAACACCAATCGAAATGACTTTAAGTTTATGACATATACACCCAAATGAAAAAAAATCATGCACGCCTTATTCTATTTTATTCTCCAAAAAATCACCGGATTTTATGCTTTCCCAATTGTATGTCGTTGATTTATGAACATATACAAAGATACACATTTATTTCTTTATCCCACTTTATAATGTCGTAATAGTTCTTTCATCCTTTTTCACTCTCTCACTCTCTTTTATTTCGTCATCTCTCGTTAATGTAAGCCATAGTGAATTCCATGAATTAATTCGGTCTTTTGAATTAAAGATGAGTCAACAAAATTCAAACCCTGTAATTCCGGCACCTTTCCGTGGTCTTCGAGTGCTTTTGGTTGATAAGGAGACAACATCTTTGTTAAGCATGGCCACAGAGTTGGAACTTTATTCCTATCGAGGTACAATAATTATATGGCAATAACCTTTTTTTCTTTTCCTTTTCTTTTCCTTTTTTTCTAAATAATTGTCTGATCAAGGATTCATAACTTGCTCCGGATTAATATAATTACTTTACTCGTACGTAGTAGTTAAATATTTATTATAGAACTAACTTGGACTCCGTGCGATGCACAACTTGCTATAAGAAATGCATGGATATATAAATAATAACTGAAGCAAGAAAATGAATAATTAACAATTTTCACATTATACAAAATAACCAATTCCATAACATATTTAGCATTTGAAATATCATAATAGTTATAGAAAATGAGAATTGTATCACTTTAAGTTAAAGCGTAATAGGATTCATTATACTTTAAAATTTGTAAATGTGTAACATGACATGATATTATTATTTTACACATTACATTATCATTTGAAAGGGATATTCATCAAACTTACATCTTACTTCTTCCCATCTTTTTGTCAAAATTTAATAACAAAGTAGTATTTTCTTGAATTTTAGTTTACGATTCCACAAAGGAAAACATATATTTCGGATTATGAATTTCATACTTTCTATCTACATTAGTATCTGTCTATTACTGATAACACAAACAGAGTAAGGATAATTTCACTTTTAGCCTATTTTGTTGACCTACTTACTAAAATCGTCATTTATGTTACTTATCATTAATATTGTGTATGGTCTTGGCAACTTAATTATAACTCATGCATTAATAAATGAATAAAATATTATACACAGATATAAACAAAATATTATCAATTATATGTATGCATATATTAAATTATAAGTTAAACAATGATATTATAAATTTGATCATTCGTAAAATAACTAATAGAGACTTATTTATTTAACTGTATATGCATCACTATACTGATTGCGTAAAATCTAATGAATAATATAATTTTGAGGGATCATGATCAATTAATTACCTAAAAAAATATTGAATTTACTATTATAACAATTGCTTATGGAATTTGTGGTTTAAATATGCCATCAAAATCAATTAATATATTAAAAAATATCACTTAATGAGATGAAAAAAAGTTATTAATTATAGAATAAATAACGATGAAAGTTTTAAAATATAACTTTTTTATACTTTTATAACTTTATATACCATTTAGTGTAACATATAATGAGTTAATTTTAATAATAACTTTTATATGGTAAAATAATAAAAAAATATAATTATAGACTCAATTAATATAAAATATAACCTTTTCTTGTCATAGTTAACTGCAAAACAAAGAGCGGCAAAAGAAAAAATTTAGCACTAATTAGATAACCGCTAATTATGTAGAATACTAGTTCATCCTGTGCATATGCACAAATGACATAAAAAAAAATATAAATATATATAAATAACAATTAAAATAAAAAAATATTTAATAATATTTATCATATTTATAATTGTATTGTTACATTACTTACTCTTAGGTAAAGTTTTAGATTTCAATAGAAAAGTATAGATGAGGAATTTATCATATGTCAATGATTATTATATGAAATATAATTTTATATACACTTTGAGTATGATAATAATTATAAAAGTATCACCAAAGTAAAAAAGAAAAGATAAATAGACAATATAAATTTTATAGTATATATTAATCTTTTAAGATAATTATCATATTGATTGCATTAATAATAAAATAGATACATGTAAAATCTGAATTATTTCATCTAATAATTTTTCACTTAAATATAGTTTAATACATATATGTTCAGTACTATTACAAAAAAAACGCTATTATAAAATATCACAACTAACTTGTAAGACACATTAATAACAATGTAAGTTATTTAGCGCTAACATTGAAGGAAAAATTGAAGAAATAAAATAAAAAATAAAAAAACATTGCATTCAATCAATAGGCTGCTTTGTATAATTTGTGTACATAACAACAATTACAAATTGAATTTAAATGAAAAGTAATAATAGTAATTAACTTGATAAAATTAATATAAATCTACATTACTTATAAACTTTTAGATAAATTTTTTTTAAATAAATAGAACCACATCAAATTAATAATGAAATCCCTTCAAATAATGCAAAATAATTAATAGAATTATGATTTATTTTTATAATTTATTTCCTAAGACATTAGAAATTTATATATTACTTCTAAATAATTGCCTTGAAACTCGACTTTGTTGTACTATTCAAGATGGTTAAAATTAATTATGAATAATTCAAATTCCAAATTAAAAATTATTTCAACCAAACAAAAAAAAATTTATAGTAGTAATATTGGAAATATAATATTACACCAAAATTTATAGAAGACAACACACCATGTTAATAAAAGTTGTTTGTAAACCCACCCACTTAGTGTACTAAAAAGCATATTTGTTTTGGAATATCTGATTTTCTCTAACCAAAAGAAAACAATAAGGGTAATTTTGCTCCCGTTGTTGTTTTCTATTATAGTTACCACCACGGAACTAACTACAGTGGCTCTGTCAATTCTCCGAGACCGAAAAGATAGCTTCGATCTTATCATGGCCGACACAAACATGCCAGAAAAGGACTGCTTCAACTTCATCAAATGCGTACGACGTATTAAGGATTTTCCCATCATATGTAAGGCTCGCATTTGATACACTCCTAATTATTTTATTCTTGTTTTTTTGCATGTTCTGCAAATTTTCATTTTCTGACAACACTGCATTCAGTGATGTCATCAGAACTAAACAAGGACATGGTTAAGGAGGCCATGACAAAGGGAGCTTGCTTCTGTCTGGAAAAACCAATTTCATCGAAAAATCTCAAAAACGTATGGCAGCACGTTTGCAGAATGGTCGCACAACAAAAAAACATGGTTAAAACGGGAACAAATAGTAATAATCCTGAACAAGCAAATTCAAAAGGGGATAAGGTCTTGGAAAATGACAGCAATGCCCCCAACATAGTTGATCAGACGACATTGCAAGAATATGGAAGTCAGAAATTAACAGGAATGCGCAAGAAAAGGTCAGCTTTGTCAAGAGAAAATGATGAGCCACGAGATTTAAAGAGGGCAAGAACAGAGAACGAATGTGGTGAGCATGCAAGTGCTAAACCCAATAATTTGCAAAAGCTTAAGTCGTTATCAGTAAATGTGAGGGAAATTGAAGATAAAGGAGACGAGGTTCTTAAAAAGCATGGTCACCTTAAGTTGAAGGGAGTTATTGATGCAAAAGGAAAAAGAAGTAGAAATATACGAATTCAGGTAGATCACGAAGACAACCCTGGAGATTTAATCTAGTTACAGAAATAAATAAATAAATGCCTTCTGATATATTTGGACTCTCCAAGTTAACAATGATATAACCTAGTTTCTTTTTCTTTTCTTACCCTATATATTTGGACCATCCATGTTAATTGATACGGTTAATGATTTTACTAGAGTTGTGATTTTAAGTAGCCTTATTCCTTTGAACATATTTCATGCAAGTGTGAAAGCTAGCACTAGAAAATCTGGCCACTGTGTGGCTCAATATTATGTTCGTTTTATGTTCAAGCTCAAAAATGGAAATTGACTTGAGAAAAACCTTCCTTTACTTTTCCTCCTTTTAGTTTTAAGTTTTTTAATCCGAGGCAGAATTTTCGCCACTAACTCAACAATAATACTCAATTTGTCGAACATTTATCAGCTGCTATTAAACACAAAATTCTACCCAAATATATTAGGAAAATAGATGACTCATGCACTCATTTTCAGATGGCTGTTCAAGACACAACTTGTAATAGCCTCCTTAAATATTCGTAGGCCAAAAATAGCTCAGGGCTATTTCCAAGCAATACGGACAACAATTTTGTGATGAGAATTGGCATTAAAGAATTTTTCAGGCAAGCCATCATGGTAAGAGTAAGAGAATACGGGCAATAGCAACTCTGCTGTACTTTCTACACAAAAGTTAAGTATGAGTAACTGCTTCAACTACCTATGTGCACACTACTGTTGGAAATAAGATTCAGTGTCTCTACCCACTTAAGGACATATGCTCGGATATGTGCTTACCGATTACAAGGGTCTTGTCTACACGCTATCAATTTCTGACTGCCTTGCATGATTTCTGTTGTCCCCCTGTGACTCAGCAAGCATACTAAGATACGCATGAGGCGCCCAACCTGCAATTTTTCCACACGCATTAGTTTCACTGTTAGACCTTTTGGGATAGCATAGGAAAAAATTGACATTCATCATCATAAGCCTCAAGCTCAAGGTGTTCCAAGCATCTCCCAGTTCTAAAGAAACGTAGATGATTACAAGCTAGAGATAAAATGTAAACGAGCACCAGAAATAAGAAATGGAACATATACTCAGTAAATGACAAAGATGCTCTATTGCTTTGGTAAATAATTATAAATCCTATAACTAAAGATTTGAGGATAAAGTAAAATATTCTTTCTGATGCAGGCATAACTAAAAGCATGTAGATGAAGCCAATGAATTATGTGCATTGATATAAGAAATGAGATAGTTCAGAAAATCAGCAAGCAAGAGTCTCATAGTCGAGAAAACATATGTGAATTACTTCACGTATCAATAAGGGTTCGAGTTCATCAGTAATCTAAAACTTTGTCCCTAAAAATAAGAGCTTATATTTAGTTTTGAGATTGAAAGAATTTCAGAAAATCAGCAAGCAAGAGTCTCAAAGTCAAGAAAACATATGTTAATTACTTCACATATCAATAAGGGTTCGAGTTCATCAGTAATCTAAAACTTTGTCCCTAAAAATAAGAGCTTATATTTAGTTTTGAGATTGAAAGAATTTCAGAAAATCAGCAAGCAAGAGTCTCAAAGTCAAGAAAACATATGTTAATTACTTCACATATCAATAAGGGTTCGAGTTCATCAGTAAACTAAAACTTTGTCCCTACAAATAAGAGCTTATATTTACTTTTGAGATTGAAAGAATGGCATACCATCTACGTCATACGGTGGAGGAAAGAATTGCAAGTAACAGAATGAAGCAATCGTCAACCCTGCACATAAAGCACTCAAGATGATTAAAAAAGAATATACAAGGAATGAAGTAAAGCACTCAATTAAACTTGTTAATAGTCTGAGTTCATATTGTAGATACCCAGTAGACCTCCAGCAAAGACATCTTGCCAATGGTGCCAATAGTCATCAACTCTTGAAACTCCGACTAATGCCGCCAGTAGTAAAGGCACAAACATAATGCACAACTTTGCCACATGGCCTCTACGATCAAACACTTTAATTTTACCACACAAGTACCAGGCTAGGAAGCCAAGACCAGCGAAGGACCCTATAAGTAGAACAAGTCAAAGGTCATTAAGCTTCTTTACACAGAACCAACCTTTTTACTAATTAAAAATAAAATGTAAAAAGCAACAGAAAGCTAATTCGATGGAACTCGTAGTAAGCCATAAGAATGTTTGGTTGATGAAACCGCAAGACTTAGCAGACAATGACAAAGAAAAACAAAATCCTCTGTGAACAAAATTTAGCAGCAAAAGCACTTCACGCCAAAAAAATGTCCGTATAATATTTTGTTCCAATATTATTGGCCACTATATCCAGACTAAAGGTGAGATTGCTCACTACTTAAGACACTAAAAGCCTACGCAAGAAGTGACAAAGGAAATACAGATCTCAGTTTTCATGTGGTGAATATACAGGCATAAACATAACAAACACATCAGCAACATAATCTCGACAAACCAAGCTAAGGTAAGTATCACATGAAGAAAAAAAATATTGTAGCTCTCAAGCAATTCACAAATATGAGTACAGGTCTGACTCACATGAAGTATGTCCGCTGGGAAAACTTTTATGACCTTCTCTTATAACACTCCTTGATCCAGTACACTGGACATCCCTTGTCACATTATGAAACACCTATCCAACAATAACCCATAATTACAGTTACTACCTCTGCAAATAACAAGATGAACAGAAAGAAATTAGGCACTGTAGTTAAAGGGATATCAAAAGACCTCACCCCTCTACCATCAGGGAAACAACGCCAGAAGAAGTCAGGTCGAGGGCGACCAACAGCATCTTTGATTGCATCAGTAAGAACAGCAGTTATAAGTACAGAAAAGAGCAGGCCTGCCGTACAACACAAATTAGTCAAGAACTCAAGATTATAGCAATTATAATCTACACCTGCAGTAAAGAAGTGAAAAGGACGGGATTAGTTAAAAGACTGTCATAACTCATACCCAGCATCGCTTGGTGCAAATCATAGACATCACGCCTGATAAAGTAAAAGACGAGGATGACAGTGAAAGGCAATACTATAGCGATTATCTGCCATAGATTATAAAATAGCAAACACTTGTCATTCCCAATGAAATGAAGATAAATGGTACCACGACTTTTAAGCATGTCAATACAAAAAGGAATACCGGAACAGCCCAAATGGGAATGGTGTTATCTTTCAAAGGGTACTTCAGGTCAGTCATCATGTCTTCACCAACAAACCGATGAAATGGCTCTATGACATTCAGAACGGCCACTATCACCACAAGAAGGAGAAGAATAAGCCAATCGTGCATATGAAACCTGGCTACTTGAGCACCATGGGATCTTATTGTGTGCGCGCCTAACTGAATTTCTGGCATTTTCTAACACCTACGACAAACTGAAGAATACATCCTTTAAGAATGATCATAAACTTGAACTCAAGGTTGTGCTAAGACAGCATATAACATCACCTACTTTAATCATGAGAAATATCCATCATAAACCAAACATCTTGCGTACACAAAACGCAGCAACAGAATAAGTTCGTCATCGTACATAGTTTTTATCTAGTCAATGCCCCTTTCAAGCTTCGAAAATCCACACAATTACTGTTTCCAACCCAAATGGAGCAAAAATATGTGAATGTTCAAATTCATCCAACTTTTAGCTTTCACTAAATAAACTATACCCTCACTGTACATGTAAAAATACACTTCATTCATTTCTTACTCTAAATAAGTTAATAAAAATTTACCAGTTTTTCCAAGAGGGGTATACATACTTCCATCAGTTAATAATTGACCACTAATACAACAGCTTAGTAATCACGAAAAACCAACATAATCATAGAATCCCAATTATAAGAACAAAATCTCAGCAGTCAATCATCACAAACCTTAAAATAATGTAGCCGAAATTTGAACCCACCTGCGTAGAGAAAAACTCTGTAAGTGCGCCCGCTTGTCGTGAGAGAGCTAGAGAGAGAAGTAACTTCTCCCAATTTCTCAAATGATTTCCAGAAGAAACGAACAAAAAAAAGTTGAAAAAATAAAATCCAAGCAGATGACAGGAAAAAGGCACAGAAAGTTATCTTCACCAACCCACTCAGCTATTTCCGCAATTTGGAATACACGCAGTGAACAAACTGAGGAACATATTTCCCATTTTCAAACTGACGAAAGGAACAAGAGGAGTGGGCCTGATATCATCTTTCGACTACTCTCGGAGAAAGATAAAGCCAGCTACCTGATCCAAATAGATAACCGATAAAGAGTTATTTACATAATTAAAGTTAAAGGAAAAAGAATTATCTATTACTATATAATACGGAGAAGAAAAAATGTTTGAAAAAATATTTCAAATTCCCGCTTAAAAAACTGTTTTTCCCCCTTAAATTTAATTTGAATTTTTTTCATCCCTTTTTTTTGCCATGGATTTCCCTTATCTACAACATGATTAGATTTCAAATCTTTTCAGTTCACATTACAATTCGATTTTAATTCGGGATTCAAAATTTGATTAGTTTTTTTAAATATGTAAAAAAAGGAGAATCCACTCTCTCTCTCTCTATATATATATACAAATTTGTGATGAGTTGAATTTTAAATTCAATTTAATATTAACAAATGTATATTTTATGTAAATAAAATTTAATAGAAAAACAAAATTAAAAAGATTGTGTGGTAACATTTTTCGAAATAAATAAATTATGGGAAGGTGATTTTGTTAGCAAAAAATTCAAAGAATTTTGTTTGGGTTCAAATTTTGAATACGTGTATGATTAGTTATAGATAAATGAATCCAACATATTCTAACTACCAAAAAATATGGAAACACATTTCCTTATTTAAAAATTCAAATTCAAGAATGTGAGGAGTTGAATTTTAGATTTAATTTGAAATTAACCACTAATGTATATCTTATGTAAATAAAACATAATAAGAAAAAAAAAATTGTGTGGTAACATTTTTCGAAAAGTGTGAGGAGTTGACTTTTAGATTCAATTTAAAATTAACCAATGTATATCTTATGTAAATAAAATTTAATAAAAACAAGAAAAATAGAAAAAAATGTGTGGTAACATTTTGGAAATCTATTACTATTATTACGACTAAGAAAAATTGTTCAAAAAACTCAAAAAAAATTATCTTATTTTCCCGCTTCATATTCCCGCTTTTTTTTTCGTTTTATTACTTTATTCGGTAAAGTTTTTTTATTTTTTTTTCATAATCCCGCCTACATTTCAATTGTAATTTATTTGGACGTATATCATAATCCTTTTTTTTTTAATCGATTTGGTAGGAATCGGATATTTCCTTTTTTTTTTTTGGAAGGGAGTTGATATAAATCGGATAACATCAATTTAAATTAATTAATTATGAAATTTCATTTCCTTTTTTTTTCAAATCCGATTTATATTATATAGATAGATTTCACTTCCTTTTTTTGTAAGCGATTACCTTTTTTTTTGTAAGCGATTGTTTCAATTAAACGTGCACTAAGATCGGGTTGACCGAATTAAACAATTTTGAATAATATTAAATTAATCGATTACTATTAAATTAATTTTATTTGATTTTCACGTCTAAAATTTTCCAAAATACTATTTTTATTTTTGTGGAAAATGACGGTTAGATGAAAAAGTCAAATTCAAATTAAGAAAAATTGTTATTTTGAAAAAGATATTTTGTAAACCTTAATTCATAAAATTATGGTCAATGATAACTTTAAATGCAACGGGTAGATATGGTCAATGATATCATAAATTATATTTTATATTCGATAAGTTCAACTTAATTGATGATTTTGTTTGTTAATATTTGCTTAACTACAAAATATTTTAAAGTTTATAAAGAATCTCATTTTATGTAGGTTCTTGGTACTTTTTTATTTGTACATATTCATTTTTCATCCCATATCCAAATACAAATTTAAATGCGGATCTTACATGTTTATTAGAAATATATGTATATTTTTTCAAAAAGTATGACGATCATATAATTAATTTTATCATATATCATATGTTGGATGTTATTAGTTTGGTTGGGGACACTCATTATATTCAAATAAATATTATATAATTTTTCATATTTGGTATTTCTTTTTTTATAATAATAAGATGTTAAACATAAATAACTATGTTTAATATAAAGTCTTAGAAAAAGTTTTAAGTAAAAATCCCTCCGTGCAGCGCACGGGATACACACTAGTGGGGAAAAATAAAGACAATCTAGGTCATTCTATCATATCTACATGCTCCTGCATACCTGATAATTAGACATGGTCAAATCTCGGCCCCGCTTTTGGGCCCTGAACCGGCTTTTACCTAGCGGGGTACTGACTCGACATGTCGGGCCGAGCCCGACCCGAATTCGGGACGCGTCCATAAAATAATATGAAAACAAATTCTACCGTTGATTTTCCAGTCCAACCCAACCCGCCGGCGCGAGGGCCGTAAAATGCATGACCCTGAATCTGTCCGATTAAAATCCGGGTCAGGCCCAAATTCGTGATCAACGGGCTTGACTGGGCCGAGTTCGTGCAGGGTCTGGGCCAGGCGGCACGTGACCTCGTCTACCTGATAATGATATACCTTTTTTATACCTATACAACATGTAACCATTCAAACTGATAACACAAAATGAGTCCTCCAAACCAATTTGGATAATCGCTAAAATTTCTGGTAGAAGATTTGTCTTGCATGTCGTTGAAAATCTTAAAACGTTATCGGCATTAGTTTGGCCATGATTTTGTAAATGATTTCAGTGCATGTAAGTTAAACAGGTTATTTATTAATTAGTATAAACATATTACCATCTTTATGTAAGTTAAAAATTATTTATTAATTAATATAAACATATTCCCATCTTTATGTAAAAGATATATTTTACGCGTACTCAATCAAGCTTCAAAAAATTGTCTACCCTCTTTGGTCGATCAAAAAGTTGACGGGACTCATTGTCACGACAAGCGTTGAAATTTCGTCTAATTTGGATGTTCGAAAGGATTACTACTCATGGGGGAATGATTCACTTTATTGAGTGCATTTTTCATGATTCTGAAGTGCGTTGATTGTCCAATATTAATCTATATAAAGTACTATTCAATGATTTTATAATGCCTTTACGTAGTGTGTCTTTCTATCGTCCAATTAACATAATATTTTTGTTCTAAATATGTATTAAATAATTATTTAATTATTTTTAGCCGAGTACGATCAAAGATCACCATCGGGTCGTCTTCTCGAAGGAAGGTGATTAGGAGTTTCGTTTACAAATTAATTGTCAAACGCACAAAAATAAAGTCCTAGACATTCAAAACGATTGATTTTCTGGGACTTTTAAACTTAATTTTAGACTAAGGAATTGAAAAACGATTAACTAAAGATGCAAGCTTTAATTAAAGACCTAAACTTTACTTAAGGCTGAGTGCTGGAAACTCAATAAAAAACAAAAATAACGAGAAACGAATTACAACTAACACTTAGAAGCTAAAGTCGAACAACTAATATGTGAAAATCAAGCTTTTAAGACTTAGACCGAAAACGTCGTGTACAAGAAAGATTTTAATAATATCTAAATATAATGTGGTTGACTTGTATAGATTTTTTTTTAAGAAAAATTAATAGCTTACTAAAATATGTTGTCTTTGAACTACATGTAATATGTTCTCTCCCTTTGATCTATAAACACCTTTCAAATTCATGTGGCATCAGTTACCACTTGTGATTTCCTATGTGATGACCCGTGAATATAAAAAAGAGTCAATGACTATTAGTAACACACACACATCGGCCTATTATTTTCCAATCAATTTAAGGTTCTATTTTGTGCTATCAGAGGCGTAATCAGTGATCTTGATTTAAAAATATTAGTTTGTGAACATCACTTTGACCGGTCATACCATCATTCTATTTAATATGAAAATTTTAATAATATTGAAATAAATTTCACTCTTTTCAATTAATTTTCCATAAAATAAATTTTTAATTAATTAATAATTTATTAAAATAATTGTTATTGAATCATATTCCCCATACATTGCACAAGTTTAACACTACTGTTGAGTTAGATTTGAGTTAAAAAAAAAAAGTGATTGAATCTCTTTTGGAAAACTTGTATCCAAACATGCTCTTCTTTTGTACTCCCTCCTATTTTTAACAAGTGTCGCTTTGAGAAGTTGTACAACAATTAAGAATATTTTTTTTGCTAATAATAACCCTCATTAATGAAGATAGAGATGGATGTTTTGAGAAAAGATGAAGAGTGAATATGAAAAGACGTAGTATAATTATTAACTAAATAAGAGTAATAATAGAAAAATATGTATAAAAGATTCAAAACCTCATTTATTTGGTTAATAGTTGATAAAACTAAAATGACATTTTAAAAAAATAGGAGATAGTAGTAAATAAATAAGAGGATAACCTAAAATGTTTATATGAAAAGGTAAAGTTAGTTGGACCTTATAATAGAAAGTTAACAAAAATTTAAGCCTTAAAGTAAGAATAACCTAAAATATAAACATTCTGTTAAAAAAGTACAAAATTCAGGCCTAGATTAATACAATTACTAGGGCGTGCTTGTTTATGAAATATTTCAATCAAAATGAGTTATTTTAGTTAACTAGAGTTAATCTTGAAAAAAGTAGTATGGTTAATTGTTAGTGGGATTTTAAGAATGTATTAAAATAATATTTAAAATAAAATGATTAAAATTGATTTGATGTAAAAGTAGGAGATAAATGATTGGAAATGATTAGAAATGATAGATAATTAAAATTATGTGAGTGGATGAATAGTGAATTAAAGTTGATGTGATGCCTAAAAATTATTGATTAATAGTGAGATTGAGTTAAAATTGAGTTAACTTTTGAGTATGAATTGAAAATATGTGAAATAATTTATAAACAAGCATGCCTAAAAGTTAGACTTCCAATAGAATTTCACCCTTAAAAAAACATTGGAGATAAAACATGGGAGATAGTATCGTAGTGGTAAATAAATAGGAATGAAATACAGCTGGACTGCTGAGTGAGCAAGATGTATTGAAGCAGGCCAAGTCTTATTTCCGTTTCATCATTTTTTTTCCTTCTCTCTTCCTCTGTTGCACTTTCCACATTTTCCAACTCCTCTCCTATGGAGGGCCCACCTCCACACCCACCACTCTCCGGCATCCCAATCACCAGCCCAATAGCGGCGGTCTACCCGGAGTCCCTCGACTCCTCCCCTCGCTCCCGCCAGACCGACTCCTGGGACGCTGATCCTCTTCCGCCGCCGCAAAAGCTCCGCTTCATGTGCAGCTATGGCGGCCACATAGTCCCCCGCCCCCACGACAAGACCCTCTGCTACATCGGCGGCGACACCCGCATCATCGTCATCGACCGCCACACGCCCCTCACCGACCTCCGCCAACGCCTCTCCAAAACCCTTCTCCACAACCAGCCCTTCACCCTAAAGTACCAGCTCCCAAACGAGGACTTGGACTCCTTAATCTCCGTCGCCTCCGATGAAGATCTCGAGAACATGACGGAGGAGTACGACCGCCTCAATAATCCCTCCGCCGGGTTGAAGAACGGCCGCCTCCGTCTCTTCCTGTTCCCCCATACCTCCTCCGGTAGCATCGAGAAGCTTCTGGTTGAGACCTCGTCGACCAAATCGGAGGACTGGTTCTTTAACGCCCTCAACGGCAAGGCGAGTACTTTGTCCGCCGGCGCCAGTGATCGTGGTTTTTCCGATTCTTCATCTGTCAATTGTCTCCTCGGATTGGACGATGATTTAGTCGGGAAGGCAGTGCCAGTGGTGGGGCCAAATGATGTCGAAGCCCGAATCGAGGATTCTAAATCTGGCGGAATTGTGAACGTTAACGTGAGCAATCAAGATGTGAACTCGGTCCCGGATTCTCCAATGCTCGAAACGACGTCGTCCTTTGGGTCCACCTCGAGTTCTCCGACAGTGGCCAATTTGCCGCCGATTAGGGTTCATGTGGAGGAGAACCCGAAGGTGGGAATTGAGGATCAGTTTCAGCAGATGAATTTGGGGGTTGTTGGCAACGTGAATCTAGTAGCTGCGCAGAAGCCGGAGGAGGCTGGGGGTCTGGTTGCGCCGGCTCCGGCGCCGGCGCCGGCGGGGCAGGTGGTTGGGGTACCGGTGGTTGTTGGCGGTGACTACTCCAATCTCACTCGGGTTATCTCCGATGATGAAAGATCAGATCCCGGTGGGTGCAGAAAGGTACAACAGGTTCAGCAGCAGGTACAACCACAGCTGCCCATTCCCCATTTCCAGCAGAGGCAAGCTGCTGCCTTTGATTTAGCTTCCCCAGATTCAGTTTCAAGGTACACTTATCATCCATATATAAAAAACAAACTTTAATTTCTTATTTTTCTTTATATGTGATAATCAATCGTGAATTATCACATGTGCTTATGTGTTCGAATTCTGTAGATTAGAACTCCAGTGGTAACATATTGAATGGTTTGGTTTATACAGTGAAGGAGAAAGTATGACAAATCCATTATCCAGGCAGAGACAAGCTATTTATCAAGATTCAATCTTGCAATCACAATCTGCAAACACTAAAGTTGCTGCTAATCAGCCGAATCCAAAACCCCAAGTTCAAGAATCATCGGGCTATATGTTATCCAGCCAATACGAACAAAATCAAACTCACTTACATCACCCACAGCAATTTATTCATACTGGCAATCATCAATATATTCCTGCAGGATCAATCCCCATTGCATCTTATTACCCAATTTACACTCCTCAACAGCAAAATAATCCACACCAGCCCAGAATAGATCAGCAATACCCGTTTTATTTCGTTCAAGCTAGACCAGCACAAGGGTACAACATTCCAATGCAGCAAACGAATTACAACCAGAATTATTATAACCAGGCCCTGCAGTCTCAATTGTCTGCTCAATACCAGTCTCTAACGTCGGCCCCTGCTTTGGTTGTACCAGATGCATCAGGTCAGATACCTTCGGAGAATATCAAGCAGTGACAGGTAAGTTTGGTGTGGATATGAACAATTTTGCAATCTGTTTTTACTATTCTTATTGGTCATCTGTGGTTTGTAATTTTAGTAGGTAATAAGGGATTCTGGGATTTGGTCATCTTTCTATCTGGTGTATGTCATTGTTATTTAGAGAAAGTGGGACTGTCTTTGGTGTGATACTGTAAAATTTCAAGGATGCTTGAAGGATTACATACATGGTGATCCTTATATATATATGTGTGTGTGTGTGTAAGCTATTGAATAAATATGAGACAGTATTTAAACTTAGCATATTGTTGCTTTTGGGGTATCTGTAGATTTTATGTTGGTGCTACTTAATTGAGCTTTTGCGCATTTTAGCTTTCTCGATTAGGTTGACGTTGTTTTTGGTGGATACGGTAGGAATTAATTTTTCGATCGATTGATGAAGCAAAGATGGTTTACTCGTCGTATGACTGTATTACATTATTTTTGGAGACAACATTTGACGACATGCTTCGAAATTACATGTCTATATCAGTAAACTCGAAATCTTGTTTCTTTTTTGCAATTCATTTTGTTAGTTGTTTTCCACATTTATAAAATCAGGTCATAGATTTTCCGGTTATATACTGATCGTTTTGCTTCTCACAGATCGTATAACCTCAATCAAACTAAATGACCCAAATGCTTTCTTCTCTCTCAGATAATGATTGAACAAGTGAAATATTTATATGATTTAAGCTAAATAAATTATTTCTGATGCTTAAGTTAAAATTCCAAAGTTTAGGGGATTTGTGATCTTCTGTGTAGAAGTTTATTTGCACTTTTAAGTCATAAACATTTGCCTTGGGATTAGTATATTAAATGGGTTAATAATGGGTACGAGGTATGTAGTTTTCTCATGGAAAACAGAGTAAGTAGTAAACTAGATAAAGATGGCAGAAATTAAAAAAAATGAACTTGTTTTCTTCTGACAATGAAAAGCTGGAAGGTCTGCTCTTCATGCTGCCATCATCTTTGACCATATGCTTAGACATTTTTAACTTACTTTGATATGCTGACTATGCCATGTTATACCCACAACCTCATACATGTGTGTATCCATGAGCATTAACTAGTATTTTATACCTCCATGTATGGAAATTGAATATTTTATTTTTATTTATTTTAACTAGTTACAAAATAAAATTATTTTAAATTATTATAAATCAACACACTTAAGTCTAGATAATAATATTAATATATTATTAAAAAAAACATGATAACAAAAAAATGTAACTAGTACTCAAAAAAAAAATTAAAAAATTATCGCCGAGCTTGCCTAGGAGCGCTTAGGCCCATATAGGCGCCTAGCCGATTTGTGCAAATTGGAAGCGGCTACCTAGGTCGATTTTCAGTACAACGATTAAAACAAGTTTGAGTGGCAGGTGGCAACCGTGATAGCCAATATATGATATTGTTTTATTGTGTATTATGTTATTTTTAATAGCATATAGTGATATATTTGTACATTTGCTGTTATATATTGTTGTTTTTAAACAATAAATTTGGCCAAAAATATCATCAAACACAATAAGTTATAGCACTATACCATCGGAAAGAGCTGGTTATATTTTGAATCACATTCTCACTTCTTGTATATAAATGCACAGTTTTTCAACTGGAGTTAGTGTTTAACCAGTATTTTATACCTCTTCTTGTGTATAAATGCACAGTTTTTCAAACTCGAGTTTAAGAGCATCTACAATGCTTTGGGTTCGATCCCAAAAATTATATGTCACACAAGAAATAGACCCGATCTACAAAAATATATTCTCCAATGTAAATAAAGGAAGATTCTGCTGATGTGGCAGCTAGAAAAAGAGACTCGGTCTCCCCTTAAGTCTATTTGAGATCCAAGTAGAGACCTAGTCTCTTTGCATTGGAGTTGATGTTGTTAATTTTAGATGATCTAAGTTTTTAACTAGTATTTTATACCTCCATGTAATGTGAGTATTACTCTGCATAAAATCCATAAAGCCTATGTATTAATTTCAGGCAATAATCATGATAATTATTCACCACGGATGATTTATTGCTATTAATTACTTAGTACTTACTCGTATTTATGGGACATTAAGATGAAATGATGTTGGTGAATGTCATTAATCTTCGACACTTTTATGAGGAGATTTTATTGGCCGCGGTTGTGCATTGAATAGTTGAGAGGGTAACTCACGCACACAACACTACACTATTCTATAGTGACATAGTCTATACAACATTCATTTATGTATAAGCAGTCCTCATATAATATAACACATAGTTTTTTTAATAACAGATATGCTAGTGCAATACCCGTGTATTACATGGGTGTTGAATTAGAAATCTTTTGTAAAAAAATATTAAATTTTTTATTTTTTTTAAAAACTAAAATAATTCAATTTTACATAAAACATTACTTTGGGTTTTAATTAAATTATCAAATTATATTTTTTAATCATAATAATTAAACACCCGTACATTAAATGAAAAAGTCAACCCGTATTGAATTTTTTTTGCTTATATCATATAAAAATATCGATATTATTTATTATTACATAAGTACAAAAATATATATCTTAAATAAATAGAAATAATATGGTGATATGTATATGCATAAGTGTAGAATACGTTTATTTAATATTAAGCAAAATAGATTATCTTTTTTACTTAATCAAATGAAAATGTCAACCCGTGTTGAATTTTTTTACTTCTATCATATAAAAATATCGATATTATTTACTATTACATAAGTTCAAAAATATATATGTTAAATAAATAGAAAAAATATGGTGATATGTATGCATAAGTGTAGAATATATTTATTTAATATTAAACAAATAGATTAATTTTTTACTTGATTAGATGGAAAAATATGAACAAAATATCTTAAACGACATTTATTTTATCAATGATCTATTAAGCCAAAGTGAGAAATAATAAAAATTGGAGGGAGTATATATTATTATATATTTTAGTATGACACATGTTACTTGTGCGACGTATATGTGTTATATTATAATAAATTTTCTACCTTATAACATATAACTACATTAAACATAAATATATTAATTGATAATAATTTCAATTTCTAATTAATTTTAATAAATAATTTTTTTTTATTATTATAAAGATAAATATAATTTATTTATTTTATATATACAATATGGATGTCAAATCGAAGCTCATCAAAAGATGATTAATTTGATATATTATATATGTAAAACCGATAAGAAATATAAAAGTTATCAATTTTTAAAATATATTATTAATTCAATGGTTATAATAGGAAACGATATTAAAATACAATCAATATAAATATTAACTTATATCCAGGCCTAACTCCAAAGCAAGATTTTTTGTCAAATAGGATTCCGAAGCATGAGAGTTTGTCACGTAGGCTCAACGCATTCTGAAATTATATACAGAGGGGATAACTCTTGTATACTAATATGCGTGCATATAATAAAGAAATAAATAAATAGTAGTACCTCCTATTCTTTTTAAATGTCATTTTGACTTTATCAACCATTAATCAAATAATTGACGTTTGGGATCTTTTGTATATATTTTTCCATTAATATCCTTATTTAGCTAATAAATACACTACGTCTTTTCATATTCACTCTTCATCTTTTATCAAAACATCCATCTCTATCTTCATTAATGAGAGTTATTATTGGGAAAAAAAATCTTAATTACTGTGCAACTTCTCAAAACGACACTTATTATGAATAGGAGGGAGTAGTATATTATTTAATATTTGTTTATTTTGTCTACTAATTGTTAGCGATATTTTATCAATTTGGGTTCGATGTCTGAAAGATAAATTCTGTTAAGAGCTCAACAGATGTAAAAGCTATCAATCTATAATTTTAGTTTTGTATTAATTTAAGATCCAAAAGATGACTCAACTATCAATTAGGGGTATAAAAGATAAAATCTATAAATTCATAACTCGAAAGTTTTAAAATTGGGAAAAAAAAAATTGTCATCCGAACTATGACGATTTTCGCACATCACCATATAAACTTTTTTTTTTTAACAAATCACCACCTGAACTATACGGGTTACGTCATTTTGAAAATCAAGATGAATTAATTGCATATGAGTGTATTAATGTTGATTAATTAATTATATTTGAGAGCCAAATAATTTCACTCTGAAATTAATATCAATAACTAATTGGCACATTCAAAATATTTAGTAGCATAATACTCCCTCCTATTTTTAATAAATGTCGTTTTGATAAGTTGCACAGTAATTAAGAATTTTCTTTTGCCAATAATAACCCTCATTAATGAGGATAGAGATGGATGTTTTGAGAAAAGATGCAGAGTGAATATGAAAAGACGTAGTGTATTTATTAGTTAGATGAAGGTAATAATAGAAAAATATGTACAAAATAGCCAAAATGACATTTATTTAACAAATGATCAATTAAGCTAGAACGACAAATAATAAAATGTTAATACCACTAACTAGCCATATAAATTTACAAAACACAAATTTTGGCCATGTTTTGTAAAAAACATCTTTTTTAGCCATTTTAGCATGTATTTTTACTACATTGACCCTAACTCAATTTTTTCACATTACCCTTTTCTTTCCCCCCAAATCACTAAATTTCATTTTCAGAAATTTCAATTTAATTCAAATACTCTAGGGTTCATCTCCCTCATCTCTCTCTCATGCCCATCACTTCCACCGTCGAGCTTCCAATCGCCGAGCTTCCAACCACCTGCGCCACCGTCCGACGACCATCGCCCGACCACACTTAGCGCCTGGCAATCTGATTTCCGACGTCGAGCTGCAGCACACCTCCATCCGGCCTCCTCTGTTCACAGGCGCAACCACTCGCGACCGTCCTCCGTCCCGACCATCAACCGGCGACCTCACCCTCGAGTGTGTATTTTATGTTATTTTTTGGATATTGTGTAATCGATCCTTAATTTTATGAGTTCTGTTATCTGGAAATTTGCGTCTTGTGCAGGGTAGATATATTCTCGGCGAAAATGGCGACTCCATAGCTGTAGCTTGGATCAGTCGAAGAGATTTGTAGGAGATGATTTTGGGTGGAGCCCTAAGCCTCAGGTGCCGTTCACGTCCTCACCCAATTTTGAGGTGTGTGTGTATTTTTTTTCTTCTTTTTTCTGTTCTTCAAGACAAACCCTAGTAGAATTTGGTTTAAAGTTATGATTATGGTTGGAAAATGGATTTATACTGAGCAATAGGCTGCTTTTGTAGTGAAGAAAAGAGTATAGCTTTGAGATTTAACAATTGTTAAGTGAAAGCTTGAATCTTGACTGACTATTGGAGATGAGTTTGGATCGGATTCTTTGTTCCGAAAGGAGAAAGTGATTATAAGAAGCTATAATCAATAATATTGTATGTTCTGAACAAATGGTGAGGTCAAATTGTTGAAGATCAACCGTAGAGTTAAAGGATATGATCATTTGAGTATTCCAATGTGCTCTGCAGTTAGATAAGTGTGTGTAACTTATAGAAGGTCTTTTACAATTTACATTCACTTGATATTTCATTCCAAATTCGGAGAAGGTTGCAAATGTATTGCTAAACCGAGGAGTATCGTACAA